TAGTAAAATCGTAAAAATAGTCAATTTACCTTAAGTCGTAAAAACGGTTGAAATATGGTTTTCTAGACGTTAAATTTCTCGCTGAACACAATGCAACTAGTTAAAATACTCTACGATGCATAGTTTTTGAAATATTGAGTAATAAAGTTAAGAATAAGGCTAGAAGCATAAGCACTATATCCGATTTTGACCAAAWATCAACATTTTTTGATTCTTATGAAAAACTAGTACTAGATGTAAAATTAACCGGAGAATACGCCTGAATAAACCGCTTTGACCTAGAACTCATAGTTTTTGAGATATTATTTTTTTTTTAATAAAACTAAAAATGGCTCTGTACCCGGAATCATAACCCGACTTCCGGTTTGTGCCATTAGATAGATAATTTCAAGCTAATTCTAATGGTTTTTAGCTTCACGCTCTAAGTCTTATAGTTTCGTAGAAAAACGCGTTTAAAGTTTCTCAATTTTGACAATTTTGACTTTTTGAACGACGATTACGGCCAAACTATTAGACTTAGAGCAATCAGTCCAACTCCATCGTAATCAGCGTAAGAAAATCTATCGACTGAGGCCAAAGCCAAGTCGATATCTCGCAAAAAAAATTTGAATTTTTAAACGCCGATTACGGCGAAACTAAAGGAGATAGTCCCACTTTTTACAATTAAGCTTTGGGACCCATACAGCTTATAATATTAGTTGACAAGATTCAGAAAAATCATAAGACACAAATAGTGAACAATCGACACTAAAAAAGAAATTTTCGAACATTAATTAATTCAATATCACTCTTTTTAATGAACAAAAAAATTTCAAAATTTGGAATTCTCTTCTTTATTTACAACCCTACCATATGACGTAAAACACATTGCATTGTAAAAAAACATTTTAGGGGTGATTTTTTCAAACTAAAAATAACCCTATCGTGTCACCCCTCATACATCTCAGCTTAAAGCATAGATTTTAAAAATATAAAATGAGGTAGGTATTTTGTTTTTTCTATGCGAGATACGAAAATGACCATCGCCAAAGTCAAATTTGACTTAACCATTCTATAGAACCTTTCATTGCGCATCTTTTCTAACATACTTAATTTTTGCGTGCAACGCACACTTTTCGAGATATTCACGTTCAAAATTTCCAGATTTGAATTTGCGCGCTCTTAAGATGCGTGTATTTGCAGTTGCATAAGTTTTAGGAGTTTAAAAATTTCAATTTTTTTATTTTCTAAATTTCGGCTAGACTATATCCAAAATCAATAATGTTTTAAACTGTATGTTTGTAAATTAGAAAAGAAAACTGCAAAATCCGTAACATTTTCGAAGTTATAATCGAATTTATATTTTCAATATTCTTCATTTTATCAGCAATTTCCAATATTCCAATATTCCAAAGTCGGGAGTTATTGGCAATCGACCGCTCCAGGTACCAAAAATCGACCAAAATTTTGTCAAAAATTGAAAAACTAAAAATTGTTCGAGATAATGATTGAAAATTGATTCAAATGTATGTACTTTACACATAAATATTTTTTAATTTTCCAACATCAATTTGTGTCGTGATTTTCATGTGTCATGTGAGCAAAGAAGTATAAAATTATGTACACTTTAGACACAATTATTTAATATTAACAGTTTACTATATTTGATTAAGACAACACTACGTGTATCATTGTTATAAGTGGGCCCCAGATTATGTGATAACATTGCGTATATTTAAATCAGAAAGCTTAAAAAAATAAAAGATATTGTATTTTGCCCACCAACACTGCATTAACTTAATAATGGAAGATAATAAGGATGAAACAAATTTCAATTTGCTCCAAGACAAGCACGACAATCACCAAATCAAGGCTTACAAACGTCGATGGATTATTTTAACATTTTTCATAGTCTACGCAGCTGTAAATTCCTACCAATGGATCGAATATTCAATTATCAACAACATAATCACAAGATATTACAATGTTACCCCCGTGATGGTGGACTGGACTTCAATCATTTACATGGCCCTTTATGCACCTTTGGTCATCCCAGCTTCCTACATTTTGGATAAACATGTATGTATTTTTTTATTTTCTTCAATTTCTAAACCAAATAAAGGGTTTACGCGCTGCTGGGCTAATTGGGGCCCTAGGGACAGCCCTTGGAACCTCAATCAAGGTATTCTCAATCGGGCGTGACTCCTTCTGGATTGTCCTTCTGGGCCAAGCAGTGGTCTCAGCATCCCAACTGCTAATTCTATGTCTACCACCACGAATAGCAGCCGTTTGGTTCAAACCCAACGAAGTTTCAACTGCTTGCTCTCTTGGGGTATTTGGAACCCAACTTGGTGCCGCTCTTGGGTTCGTTCTGCCACCCATGATAGTCCAAAATCGTGAAAATGTCGACGAAATTGGACACGATTTGAAAGTGCTGTGTTGGGGGCTTACAGCTGTCATCATACCAACAGCAATTGCAATCATATTTTGTAAATTTTCTAAAAACCAAACTTTTATTGAGTTTTTCTACGAGTTTTTGCAGATTTTCCCATGCAACCGCCAAAACCGCCAAGCATCACGCAAGTGGAAGAAAGAAATCGGACTGAAAAATTTTCAGGGAAATTGTTTTTTCACTCTGTTTCAGTTCTAATGAAAAATGTGCCTTTTGTGATTCATGTCATAGCTTATGGTATCAATATTGGTGTTTTTTCAGCAGTTGGTACTCTTCTAAACCAACTGATTTTGCGTTATTTCAAACACTTGCCAGTAAGTTTCAGTAGTGTTGTTTCTTTGACTGATTTTTTTTTCAGGATGCTGAAGAGTTTGCTGGGAGAGCTGGTCTAGTTATGATAGTGATTGGGATGGTGGGGTCTATCTTATTTGGGATATTCCTCGACAAAACACATAAATATAAGTAAAAATAACATGATTTTAAAACCGTTTTCTTATTTTTTTTTAGGGAAACCACCGTTTGTACTTACTTGATGTCTTCAGTGAGTGTTGTAGCGTTCATGTTTGCGTTAGAAATGAAGTCGAAAATTTTGGTTTATCTTGCAATTGGAGTGGTTGGGTGTGTCAAATTATCAAAAAAATCGATTTTCTTACTTTTGATTTTAGTTTATTTACAAATGCGTATATGCCAGTAGGTTTCGAGTTTGCCATGGAATTGACTTACCCCTCTTCTGAGGGTACTACCACAGGATTGCTAATGGCACCCTCACAGGTTTTAGGAGTTGTTTTTGCGTTAATGTTGGGCCAACTTAACGTTTTAATTGGACCGTTTTGGTCTCTAGCCAGTCAAGTCTTATTGCTAGTAGTTGGCACTGTTATTACATGGTTTGTGCCAAATAATTTGAAGAGACAGGAGGCCTTCAAACGTAGGAAAAATGACGATATTTTGTTAAAGGAAATTAAGCGTTGAATATTATGTTGTAATAAAAAATTTTGTTATTTTTTTTCGTTTCAAAACTACTAAAAACTACATTATTATGTCTTAAAACACAAAATGCACCTCTGGTGTCCAAGTGCGTTACTAACAAAAAATGGCTCCAGGTTTGAATAGATCCTTTTTATTTCCTAATTATTGATTCTTACCTGGCAAGTTTTGTTGTAAATTTAGTTCAAAAGAAAATGTTTTATTTTCATTTCAAACAAAATTTGCAATAAAACTTGCAATGTAATGTTGTTGCGGGGTAATAAAACAAATTTTGTTTAACTTTTTTTATTGTAAACTAATAATATAACAATTAATTTTTTTCTGATAATTAAATTATTAACAACAAAATCAGTCAGTGTCATGGGCGCAGATTAAAAATACATATTTTATTACAAACACAAAAACAGGTTATACAAAATTGGAACATAAAACCATATTTTTTCTAATTATAAATGAAACCATAAGACAGGAATCTCTAAAATCATAAATTGGAGTATAAAAGTG